AAAACCACAATGAGGTACCATCTCATGCCAGCCAGAATGACTGCTATCAAAAAGTCTACAAACAATAAATGCTGGAGAGGGTGTGGGGAAAAAGGAACCCTCTTACACTATTGCTGGGAATGCAAACTAGTAGAGCCACTATGGAGAAGAGTGTGGAGATTCCTTAAAAAACTGGAAATAGAACTGCCATACGACCCAGCAATCCCATTGTGGGGCATACACACCGAGGAAACCAGAACTGAAAGAGACACATGTACCCCAATGTTCATCGCAGCACTGTTTACAATAGCCCACGGAAGCAACCTAGATGTCCATCGGCAGACAAATGGATAAGAAAGCTGTGGTACATATACACAATGGAATATTACTCAGCCATTAAAAAGAATGCATTTGAATCAGTTCTAATGAGGTGGATGAAACTGGAGCCTATTATACAGAGGGAAGTAAGTCAGAAAGAAAAACACCAATACAGTATACTAATGCATATATATGGAATTTAGAAAGATGGTAATGATGACCCTATATGTGAGACAGCAAAAGAGACACAGATGTAAAAACAGTCTTTTGGACTCTTTAGGAGAAGGCAAGGGTAGGATGATTTGAGAGAATAGCATTGAAACATGTATATTATCATATGTGAAACAGATTGCCAGTCCAGGTTCAATGCATGAGACAGGATGCTCAGGGCTGGTACACTGGGATGACACTGAGGGATGGGATGGGGAGGGAGTTGGAAGGGGATTCAGGATGGGGAACACATGTACACCCATGGGTGATTCATGTCAATGTATGGCAAAAACCACTACAATATTGTAAAGCAGTCAGCCTCCAATTAAAATAAATTAATATTTTTAAAATGAAATTAAATTAAAAAGAAAGAAGTGGCATTTAGTGGGAAATTAGTAGGGAGAGTCAATGGAATTTTGAAAACTTTGAAGTCTTGGGAAAACTATAAAAATCATTAGAGAATAAAAAGTTGTATCACATGGAACAAAAATATAAAGAGGCATATTCACTTGTGAAAGACAAGAATTCACAAGAATATACAAGACAGACAGAGGTTAACAGTTGGTTGTTTCAAACACATGGGGCAAGTGTAGTGCACTTAAGAGTACAGGATCCCCTGAGTTCATCTCAAGTTCAAATTCTTGCTCTCCCACTCAACAGCTGCAATTCTGAACAAGTTACTTACCCTTTACGCCTCAGTTTCTTATAAAATAGGAAAATAAGAAGATAACCCACACAAATGCTACTCACTAAAGTAACTGGCACTCTAGAAGTTATTAGAATTCTAAATAATCACTAATTTGTTATAACTTCAAATACAAAAACTAGAATAATGAGAAACTTCATTAAAACTTGTTTTCTTCAAACACTAAAACTATACAGCTTTTATATTTTAAATAAAGCAATGTGAATTGAATTAACTGCTTCTGTGGAGGAAAATGAAGAAATAGTTTCACACTCTAACCCTCTTTCCTTTCAAGTTGGCAGAAAAATAGGGCAAAGAGTTCACAGAAACTTGATTCCTTTCCAGTCCATTTGGACAAGGTCCAGTTAGCCAGTTCCTCAAGGACATGATGCAATGAAAACAATTCAGGAAAATAAATAATATGGGGAAAACATAACACAGAGGTGGGAGATAATTTTATTTCATCTTCTATTTAGATGTTACTTTTAAAAAGCAACCAAAATGAGGGCTCCCCTGGTGGCTCAGTGGTAAAGAATCCACCTGCCAGTGCAGGAGACAGGGGTTTGATCCCTGGTCCAGGAAGATCCCACATGCTGCAGAGCTACTAAGCCCATGTGCCGCAACCATCGAGCCTGTGCTGTCCAGCCTGGGAGCTGAGACTACCAAGCCCTTGTCCTGCAACTACCGAAGCCTGAGTGCCCTGAAGCCCGTGCTCCAGAGCAAGAGAAGCCATCTCAGTGAGAAGCCCACCCACTGCAGCTGGAGAGGGGCCCCCACTTCCCAAAGCTAGAGAAAAGCCCACACAGCAACGAAGACCCAGCACAGCCAAAAATAAATAAATAAAATTATGTTTTTTAATGCAACCAAAATGAAATCTGTAAACCATACACTTTTAATTGTTAGCTACTATACATGTTCAATGTACCATTTGAACTGTACTTTTCATGGAAACTGGGATTGTTTCTTCATATTTAGTAGCGGGTGAGTAAACATCAGGACACCTAGGTAGCCATCTGACAAAGGAAATAGGCAGGCTCCTATTTCAGTCCTAAGGCTAAACTAAAGCCCAGTACATCGGCAACCCCAACATAAAAAAGCAAAGCCATAAATTACTAGAGAAAACTTTGCGCAAGAGCTTATGAAACTAGAAGCGATCACAGAACAATGAAATCAATATATTTGATGACATAAAAACTTTAAAATTCTGCACAGAAAGAAAATAGCACTAACAATGTTAAAAGACGGAAACTAGGACAACAGCCTATTTTCTTTAATACATGAAGATATTTTATGAATAAGATGTTTTGTATTTTATGTAAGCAAAGTGGGAGAAAACAAATAGCAAAACAAGCAGTTAATTAGAAAGGAATTTTAAAATGTTAACTATATGAAAGATGATTAACCTCATTTGTAATTAAACAAATGCATATTATAATAATAATGGGAACCAGTTCATCACCTAGCAGGCTGACACACGGATCATAAAGTTTGATGACATAGCAGGTGATAACATGAGGAAAGACACCACTATGTAATATAGAAGTGACAAAATAATGCAAACACTTTGGAGGACAACTGGTTTATTCATCAACATTGAGAATGCACATAGCACATCAACTGTTCAAGTTTTGAACTTATCTTGTAAGGATTTTCCTATTTTTATACAATGACAGACACATACTATCATACCCAGTTGGTGATGGAAGAAGCCCCATTTGTCTCGGTTTCTGTCTTTTGTGAACTGCCAAGCAAATTGTAGGAATTCAAAAAGTAATCGTTGAATGGAGAAATAAACAGCATGTGCATGACAGCACTGCCAATGTCTGACAGGAGACTGGTTAATACATTTTAATAGAACAAATTGAGACAATGAAATAGTACACAGCCCCAAAAAGAATAATACACATGTTGAAATAGGGTGATCTCTAAGATAAGTTAGATTCAGTTCAGTTCAGTTGCTCAGTCATGTCAACTCTTTGCGATCCCGTGGACTGCAGCACGCCAGGACTCCCTGTCCATCACCAACTCCCGGAGTTTACTCAAACTCATGTCCATTGAGTCAGTGATGCCATCCAACCATCTCATCCTCTCTTATCCCCTTCTCCTCCCACCTTCAATCTTTCCCAGCATCAGGGTCTTTTCAGATGAGTCAGCTCTTTGCATCAAGTGGCCAAAGTATTGGAGTTTCAGCTTCAACATCAGTCCTTCCAATGAATATTCAGGACTGATTTCCTTTAGGATGGACTGGTTGTATCTCCTTGCAGTCCAAGGGACCCTCAAGAGTCTTCTCCAAAACCACAGTTCAAAAGCATCAATTCTTCAGTGCTCAGCTTTCTTTACAGCCCAACTCTCACATCCATACATGACTACTGAAAAAACCAGTCCAGCCTTGACTAGACAGACCTTTGCTGGCAAAGTAATGTCTCTGCTTTTTAAGTTAGGTTAAAAAGGCAAAATGTAAAACACATACATATGCTTGAAAAGTGTTAGTCACTCCATTGTGTCCAACTTTTTGTGACCACATGGACTGTAGCTCACTAGGTTGCTCCCTCCGTCCATGGGATTTTCCAAGAATACTGGAGTGGGTAGTCATTCCCTTTTCCAGAGGATCTTCCTGACCTAGGGATCGAACCAGGTCTCTTTCGTCTTCTGCATTGCCAGGTGGGTTCTTTACAACTAGGGCCACCTGGGAAGCCTACATATGCTTGTGTGACTGTATTCTACCTGGACAGGTAAGAGGTAGGTAAAAGCAAATGCGACTGGGTAGATGGTTTGTAAACTAAGGACTGGGGTGAGGGATTTTGTCCTTCAGAGAAAGTTACTTTTAGGAATTTACTTTGCATTGCTTACTATGTGTGGATTAAAATAAAAGCGTCTGTACTTATTACTTTTTCAATTAAAAATTAGTTATCAACAGCAAAAATCCCCATACTGAGACCCCTGGGACGCTGCCCTGTAACACTTCTCTGCCTCCCAGCTCGCTGTGAGTGAGCGAGCAGTTTGGAGAAAGGGCTTCATCACGTTCAACTGCTGAGCGCTCACTGCGCTGGGTACGTCCTGTTCTGTTAAACCAGTCAATGATCAGACCTGGAAACCAGCCATCGCTGGAAGCCTTTTCACCGTTACTTAACAGATGTGGATGCTGAGTCCAAAGTGACAGAACTCAAGGTCGCACCCCTCTTTCTGATTTCTGTCTTCCCACCACCCTTCTCTCAACCCGGTGTATCAGACCTGGAAACCCAAAGGAGAAGCCTCATCCCGACCCTTCCGCTGAAGATACTCTGCACCGCTTCAGTGCCTTGACTTGAGTATTACTATTACCAATACTCTTGTTAGAATTTGGCTTCAGATCTTCAGTTTTCCTGGCAATTTCATTTCTCCCAGCACACGTCGAGTTATCTGCTGAGATGAAATAAATCTAGGCTTCCCACATCTCAGAGGTCATTATCTTTTATCTTTGCTGCTCTGCTGCGGAGAGTAAGGCATTTCCGAAAAACTTAATAGGTTTGGGAGACTCATCCAAGGGCAGGATTTCACTGCTTGGGGTCAAATAGGCCCTCACCCCAGAGGACGCCAGCTTTTTTAGAGGTTTCCCGTTTCCACGACCCTGGAGAAACTGGAAGGACCAGCGCGGGATTTCTCAGGACACCCTCTGCCACCGCCGGGTGCGCCCAGGGCGCGTCCCCGCCGAAGTTACACTCCCCCGCCCCCGGCACGGGGTCCGGCGAGGGATCGGCAGGGGTACCGGCCCAGCCTCGGCTTCGCGGCGCGACACTGGGGTGGGGCTGGTAAGGGAAGGTCCCCTTACCCGCCAGGCCAGGTCCAGATCGAAGTCCCGGGCGCGCAGGAACCGCAGCAGGAAGGCGTCGCTGAGCAGCCGCCCGGCCAGCGGAGCGCCGGCCGCCCGGGCCCGGCGCCGCAGCTCGGTCAGGCTGGGCTGCAGCAGCGGCGAGTGGTCGGGCAGCGCGCTGAGCTGCAGCCCCGCCAGCCCCGGCCGCGCCTCCGCCATGCCCGCCGCCAGCTCCCGCTGTGGTCCGGGGCGCCCGAGAGAGCGCGCGCTGGCCTCCTGCCCCTCCTCCGCGGACCGCCCGTCCCGCCCCGCCCGGAGGGGTGCGCCCGGCCGCCTCTTAGAGCGAACCACGTGGGAGCCTGCGGGGCTCAGGGCTCTGCAAGCCGCAGGTAGTAACCCCGGCCTTCCCAGAAAGGAAGTCACTGGTACTCAGCCCCTAGAAGATAACATAGTGTGTTTGCCTCTGCTGATGGTGATCGGTGGCGATGTTTTCAAACTAGTCAGCTTGAGAACTTAATTTTTTTCCTTTTTCTTCCTTCTTTCCCTCTCCCCTCATCTACCTCTCTCTCTTCCTTCCTTCCTTTCCTTCCTTCCCTCCTCCTTCTTTCCCTCCTTTATTCCTTCCTTCTTTCTTCTCTCACTCCCTTGCTTCCTTCGGTCTTAAAATCCGACCTTGTCCTAGAGCTGGAAGGAGGCTTAGAACCACCACTTCGCGTCTCAGTGGCGGGCTCGCAGAGGAGTCCTTCTCCCCACCCTTGGGTTAATGCTTCTCACTGACTCCCCACCTCAACCTGTGTTACATCGTGCGTGCGTGCTAAGGTGGCTTCAGTAGTGTCTGACTCTTTGCGACCCCCATGGACTGTAGCCCGCCAGGCTTCTCTGTCCATGGGGATTCTCCAGGCAAGGATACTGGAGTGGGTTGTCATTTCCCTTCTCCGGGGTGTGTTGTTGCATCAGTGGTTTCCAAAATACCCATCCCAAAAGAGCAGCTTAACTGACTCACTGCTGCTCCCCTTCCTCCCATTTCAGGCAGTCTTCTTAGTTCCTTGGTACCTTAACAGAGTTAGTGATATACACCAATAAATGACTGTTGTTTTTCAGTCTCTAAGTTGTGTCTGACTATGCGCGCTATGGACTGCAGCACACCAGTCTTCCCTGTCCTCCACTATCTCCGGAGTTTGCTCAAATTCATGTCCATTGAGTTGGTGATGCTATCTAACCATCTTACCCGGTGCTGCCCCCTTCTTTTGCCTTCAATCTTTTCCAGCATCAAGGTCTTTTCCAATGAGCTGGCTCTTCACATTATGTAGCCAAGGTACTGGAGCTTCAACTTCAGCATCAGTGCTCCCATAGAATATTCAAGGTTGATTTTCTTTAGGATGGGCTTATTTGATCTCTTTGCAGTCCAAGAGTCTTTTCCAGCACTATAATTCGAAAGCATCAGTTCTTCAGCCTTCTTTACAGTCAAACCCTCACACACATACATGACTACTGAAAAAACCACAGCTTTGACTATACAGACCTTTGTGGGCGAAGTGATGTCTCTCTCTCTTTTTTTTTAATAATTAAGGACTAGAAAGTGCCAAGGAAAATCTTTGTAAACACTACATACTTACTTCCTGTGTTATGCTCTATTATCATGTCTGGTCACTCAACAGAGTCCAAAGTCCTCATATGACCTCATCTAAGTGATCCCTCTTCATGAAGATGGAGCAGGGAAGTGATGTGGAAACCAGAAAGGCCATTAAATTGGTCTTTCCTTGATCTCTGTCCTTTGCAACTATCCCAGAACTGACCTGTCTCCCTGAGGGAAAACTCGTGAGTTGAATTTTTATTGAATATATACTATGTGACAGATAAATACTAAAATCTCACAAACAAATAAAACCAAGTCTTTGCCTTTAAGATGTCCAGTGGGAGGTGAGAGAGACTGCCATTTCATTCATGAAAAAAATAGTTATTGAACAGCTTCTGTGTCCAGATCTTGTTCAAGGTACTGAGGGTACATTCTCAAACAAAACAGATACAACCCTTGTCTTGGGGGCTTTGATTTTTGTGGAGGGAGACTAGAGGAGGAATGAGATAAATAAGCAGTAAAACAGAGTCAGGGAGGTGGTGATAAGTGTTTTGGGGAAGCATAAAGCTCTCTGAAGGAGGGTTGAACCCACAGTGATGTTTGAATAACACCTGCAAGAAGGGAGGAAGCTGGACCAGGGGTCCCTGAGATGCAGGTGGGGGCCAGGCTTGGGAACTCAGTGAAGTAAGTAATCAGAATTCAGTGAGTAAGCTATGGTAGATGAGGGCTAGAGGTGCCAAGCTTTTATTTTTATTTAGAGTGAGATAGAAAAGTATTGGAGGAGAGGTTTACCATTCAATGTGAAAGCTGTCATGAAAGGGTTAGAGAGAAAGCACCATAGAGAACATAGAGGAGGGCTTCCTGACCCTGCTTAGGGTATCTGGGAAGGCTTCATAAAGAGTGTTTGCTTAGCGTTAATGGAGGCATTGGGAAGGCTTGCCAGGTGAGAGCAAGAGGTGGAATCTGCAAGTAAGTACTAGTCCAAAGGGGTAGACTATGCAGAGCCTTACTTGGAACTCTGAATAATGAAAAATCCAAGAGAAGCCAATCTTCTCTAGAAGCTTAAAGAGTTTAAAGGTAAGTGAACAAGACAGTGTACACATGGCATATTTTCTCCTCTTTCAATTTTTTTTAAAATACATTCTTCTAGTTGTTTCTAGTAATTAGCATCTGCTATTTTGAAATAGGGCAGAAAGTTCATTCAGAGGGACTTCCCTAGTGGTCCAGGGGTTAAAAGATGCCATGCTCCCAATGCAGGGGGTATGGGATTGATCCGTGGTCAGGAACTAAGGTCCCTAAAGCCATGTGGCACTGCAAAAAAAATTCACCAAGAGATCATGGACATAGCTATAGTATCATAGCTGTAGCATCCTTTTTTGAAAGTGAGCTTTGTGGGGTTTGGAGTCTGATTTGGCTAGGTTTGCATTTGTAGAACTCTCATAGGAAAAACACAAAAGAATTTTTAGTGACTGATTTTGATGGATAACCATTAAATTCGGTGAAAGTGGAAGCAACATGGAGCCCAGGTGACCAAGAGACATGGTTCCTAATAACCCAGAGGTACAGAGGTAGTGGAGCATCTCTGGTCAAAATCTGAAACAATTCTAGCACCTGCAGTTAGTGCCTTTGAAGAAAAACACAGAGAAAAGAAAAGAAATGTGCAGGAGTAGTGGAGTAGACTCCTACAGAAAAACGTGCTTATTTTCTGCTAAGTAATGCAGACCACCCAACTGTGTTGCAAACATGAATCTTAGATCCAAAGAAACATTTTAGAATTTTGCCACAAATTTTCTGTCAGTGTTACTCACTCTTTATTTTGAAATGGTTCCACTTTTGCTTTGCTCCTATGTTACTCTGGTGAGCTTACTGCACATGCATCCAGGCCTCCTATATAAAGATTCCAGAGGTGTTTCTGGAAGTAGTGGCATGAGAAGATAAAAACAAACATGGAGGGAAAAATCAGTTAATATTTGTACAACTAACAATTTACTCTGAAATTATTTAGCAACTATTTATTAACATGTAATAATTCATAAGTATACCAGTGAATTTATTTTCAGTTTCACGAAAAAAGAGATAAATATTATTTATTATCACTGTTAAGAGATAATCTTCAGGACTTTCCTGGTGGTGCAGTGGATAAGAACCTATGCCGCAATGCAGGGGACATGGGTTCAATCCCAGGTTTGGGAAGATCCTACATGCCACAGAGCAACTAAGCCCATACCCCACAAATAATAAAGTCCGTGCACTCTAGAGCCCGTGCTCCTCAATGAGAGAAGCCATAGCAATGAGAAGCCTGCCACCATAACAAAGAGTAGCCCTACTCGCCACGAGTAGAGAAAGCCCGCACAAAAGCAACGAAAACCCAGCACAGCCATAAATAAATAAAGATAACTTTCAAAAGGAGGTAAAATTATGACTCTCATACAGATACAAAGATTTTTATTTGACTTAGAAGCAGAGAACCAGACAGAGACTCAGAGGAGAAATCAAAACAGCACACATTTATATGGAGTGAAAGATATGGAAATGGGTCAGGAAGATCCCCTGGAGAAGGAAATGGCAACCCACTACAGTATTCTTGCCTGGAGTATCCCATGGACAGAGGAGCCTGGCAGGCTACAGCCCATGGGGTTGAAAAGAGTCAGACGCTACTAAGCAGCTGAGCACATATGTACATGCAAAGTTTGGAGACAAAACTAACTTCTTCCACCATGAGGGCAGGAGGCCAACTGAAACTGTACCAGGTAGGGCAGCATTTGCGTGCTCTTAAACGAGAGTTGCCATCACCACCAAAGAGCTGTAATTTACCGTGTTGTGAAATAACCTACATAGAATCAGAATCAGATAATCCAGAGGGAGTGCTCTAGAGTCTATACAATGCATAGTTCTCCGCTGACACACAATTTGATCCTATATCACTTGGAATGATGTAAACTCATTTTACTATTAATGATTACTGAAGCATAGCTGCTTTACAATGTTGTGTTAGTTTCTGCTGTATGGCAAAGTGAATCAGCTACATATATTACATGTCCCCTCTTTTTTGGATTTCCTTCCCATTTAGGTTGCCATAGAGTGCCAAGTAGAGTTCCCTGAGCTGTACAGTATGTTCTCATTAGTTGTCCATTTTATACGTAGTATCAATAGTGTGTATATGTCAACCCCCATCTCCCAATTCATCCCACGATAAAGTTATGGACCTAAGCAAGGATTGTCATCAGCAAAAGTTAAGTAACTTGCCTAAAATCACACAGCTGAAATCACACACTGAAATCACATAATTTCAGTGGTTGTGGTGCACGGGCTTAGTTGGTCTGCAGCATGTGTGAACTTCCTGGATCAGGGATCAAACCCCTGTCTCCCACATCATCAGGTGGATTCTTTACCACTGAACCACCAGGGAAACTCTATTTCTCATATGAATTTAAATTTAAATTGTGGAAACCAGATTATCTTAATTTATAATTGAATGACTGGGTCAATGAGCTATTATCATGAGTACAAATAAAGTCTTTGAGTAAATATTAAATACTACTAATACATATCACTTTCCCAGATGCTCTGCTCCATATTTTAATGTACCTTAACTTTAATTTCACAACAGTGCTGCACTGTGGATACTATTAACCCTATTTAGA